AACTCGTGTACACTTTAGGGGAATCGACTTCGTAATGAGTGCCTTAAAAAATAGAAAGTATAACTCGGAACTCGATTAAAATACAAAGACCAGCGCCTCCACCATATGTGGTTGAGGCGCCTAACATATCAGGGGCTTATTTAATACTTGAGGGTCTTGGTCAAAACCAAGAATCGGAAGCTACCCGACGTCTGCCCAAATATCGTCCCTATCTCCTTAAATGAATTTTAATTACCTGAAGGAGACACAGGCAATCGTGTACCTTAGTTACAGGGGATAGATTATTAAATAAAATTAGACTATTGTTTTATTTCAACGACAAAGTAAAGTTATATTCTAGATGTTCAGTAAATATAAGTTATATGTAATGTACAATACGTCTGACCTGAATCCTAATACAGTTGGTTAGTAGATATATCCAAGTGAGATGGAGTTGGTAGGCTAAGATGACAACTGTCGATAGACGGGTCTTTGAATAAATTAAGTTAAGTTATTGACAAAATAAATAAGACAGAAGTGATGGTATCGAAAAATATATATATAATGGCCACTCAAACACAATTACCCTGTGTTAGTTCGACGTCATTAGTTCCGGGCTACAAACAAGTATAATTGTCACATCAACATTTCCTTCTACGTTAATTATCATGTATTACTAATTAAGTAAATGAAAATACAACATGTATTATTTAAGTAGTAAGAACACAGTAAAAAATGTTCTTACAAAAATAATATACTTAATATATCACACATTATAATTGTTTTATTGGTTTCATTATACAAGGGGTGGTCGCCTCCACATAGACGTGCCTACCTTAACTAACTTGAACTATGCAAAATTATAAAAATATGTGACTGTTAATTTAATAAGGTTCAGGCTGATTGAAGTATGACTTAAGTTATGCAAATATTGGTGTTTAACATGATTCCTTCTTTTATAATTTTTAACTCGAGGTGCCAAAATTCTTAAAGTAAATATGTGTTAAAAAAAAAGGAGAATAAGGCTGTAAATAGTACAGACTATAATAGAATTAAAGTAAAAGGATTTCGGAGTATTCGTGTCTACATATGAACGTCTGATATATATGAATATAGAATAAATGTACTAAGAAAGGTTATTACTTGGTTTCTACATAAAAATATAATACAAATGAAACTGTATGATCTGTGAATATAGTGTTTTTAACACGCTTATATTAGTTTCACCTGTATGTATGTATGCATGTATGTATGTATGTATGTTTGTAACTCTCCAAGCACCACGCGTTATCGCATATTCCGTCGTCTATGGCCTTGACATGCAAACGGCTGTCTTAGTTAAAAAACGCTATTTTAGTGTTAAAATGTTCGATTTTAAATTTTCAACTTAAAAATGCTATAACATTTTGAAAAATGTATGTATCAGCACAAATTTTTTTTTTCTAAATACATTATAAGTACATAATTCATTTGACATACTTTTTATTAAAATTGGACAATTTCCCCTTATATAGAGTGCGTTCAAAACTTGAAACATTGTATAAAAAATACAACTTTTTCAACTTAATTTTTGAAAATGTTCCGGAAATACTGCGTCCTTTAAACATATATCAAATGAAAGCTTATGTCAAGTACTATAAAATGAAAAAAAATAATTTGTTCCTATGCGCAAATGGCTACCGTATCAAAAATATGCTATTTTTAACACGCTTATATTAATTTCACCTGTATGTATGTATGCATGTATGTATGTATGTATGTTTGTAACTCTCCAAGCACCACGCGTTATCGCATATTCCGTCGTCTATGGCCTTGAGACTAGACTATCATAACGCATTCACCCCACCCCACGCCACGCTCAACACAAGACAGCAACACTATTCCTGTATAAATTTATTTTTGGTTATCGTACCCGTACACGCGTGCTTGTCATCAATATTATATATATATATAAATAAATTTTTATTTTGACTGACCAATACCATCCGCGTGTCATACGGCTTACGTATATATTTCTACCGCCGTTTATACCTCAGGTATAACGTTAGTCCGACCCGACCGCCCACAAAACACGGCTATTCCTAGTGCATGATACGTTTACGTACTTAAGTCGCTTTACTTGTATATATATACATATTCTAATTACTATTAAAAATATATATATTAACACGCTTTATTCTTATTTAGAGATAGAGAGTGTATTCATTCCGATTACAAAGGATGATTCCCGTATCGTCATTTTTCAGGAGTGGGTAATTTACGCGCCTGCTGCTTTCCTTGGACGTGGGAGCCGTTTCTCAGACTCCCTCCCCGGAATCGAACCCTGATCTCCCGTTATCCGTAACATCCAAGATATTGATAGTAACTACTATCATAACATGAAACTAAAAATTGAAAAATAAATATAGTTTTAAAAAACTAAAAAACACGCTTTTAAAGCACATTAAACTAAAAAGTTTGTTATTCATGTTAATATTATTTTACTGTGCGTTTTTTTTGAGGCCGCGATTTATTTTTCTAACCCTCACTTAATAAATCATTACCTTTCATTTGGTATATTTTTTTGTTATATTTGATCCTTTAACTGTCCACAGGGGGGATTTAAAATGACAACTTTTTTACAAAAAATTAATTTTTTCAACTTAATTTTTCAAAATGTTCCGGAAAGTCTGACACTTTTATATATATCTTAAATTAAAGTTAATGTAATGTACTTTATTATGCAAAAAAAAAATTTTCGGACTTTGTTTTATCTTCAGGGTGAAAATGGCTACCGAATGCTATTTTTGTGTGAAAATTTTCGATTTTGTATTTTCCATTTTTAACTTTATTATGCTATAACTTTTTGAAAAATGTATAGATCATTACAATTTTTTTATGAAAAGTAGTATTTATATAGATCTTTCATTCAACATACTGTTTTTTTAAATCGGACCATTTCCCTATATATAAGCGGGGTTTAAATCTTCAAAATGCATGTAGACAGTAGAACTTTTTCAACTTAACTTTTGAAAGTGTTCCGGAAAGTCTGACACTTTTATATATATATATATATTAAATTAAAGCTAATGTAATATACTTTATTATANATATCTTAAATTAAAGCTAATGTAATATACTTTATAATGGTAAAAAAAAATTTCGGACTTTATTTTTTTTCATGGTGAAAACAGACATCAAATTAAAAAAAAAAATACGATTTTTGTAAAAAAATTCTTTTTTATATTTTTAACTTTATAATGCTATAACTTTTTGAAAGATGTATGGATCAATATAATTCTTTTTTTTATGGATGCATGATGTCTTTAATTATCATTTGGTATAATTTTTTTGTAAATCTGACTTTTTTTACCTGCCCAAAGGGGGGGATTCAAAATGACAACTTTTTCAGAAAAAATTTACTTTTTCAACTTAAATTTTGAAAGTGTTCCGGAAAGTCTGACACTTTTATATATATCATAAATTAAAGCTAATGTAATGCACTTTATTATGGAAAAAAAAATGTCGTACTTTATTTTGTCTTCAGGGTGAAATTGGCTATCGAATGCTAATTTTGTGTGAAAATTCTCGATTTTATTTTTTTATTTTTAACTTTATAATGCTATAACTTATTGAAAAGTGTATGGATCAACATAATTTTTTTATGAGTAATAATAATTTTTAATAATCCCTTTTTCATTCGATATACTTTATCTGAATCAGGATATTAATAACCACCTATTTAAATAATATTATAATCCACCTATTTTTTAAAATTAAACACTATCTAAAGATTTGCATCGAAGCGTTTTTTATGATAGTGATTTTAATCACCGACAGATATCATTATACTTGATCCAAATATGTCACGTCACCACTGTGCCGCGACCCCACTGTGCTGGGTTTTTTAAAATGAAATCATATATTTACATTTAAAGAACTATTTTATGTATAAAATAATTCGTTCAAAATTAAATTTATGAATATTTACTAGATAATATTTTTGATTGAGTACATAAAAATACAAAATACGTACTTAGTAATTTAAGATAATAAATTTAAATTTTACAATATCATAAAGTTAAATAATAATTGAACCATTACAATGGCATATTTTGTATTATCCTTACTGACTATAACACCATTATTTACATAGTTAATCATTACTTAATCTGAGACTAGTTTATGTTGAAATTATGATAATTTATGTTTATAATAAATGACAATAAACTATTGATTTCGCAATCTTTTTATCATAACATCTAACGAATAGTTTTAAATAAAAAAAAAAACTTAGATGGCAAGTAAAAATGGCAATAAATTATTTTTGTACTCTTCAATAATGTACCATAAAAAAAATATTACATATATCATGTACACACAACATGTATTAAAAATTATTTATTGTGTCTTAACTTTTAGCTAATAGTGTTATAGCAATTAATTATTCGAAAACTGTATAGCCATTGCAATTTTTTTTAAATAATTCTCTAACAGACAAATTAGGCTGTTATTAAGTATTCAGTAATTCGAGAGCTATTATTTTAATATGACTATTTATGATGAACTTAATGTAATAATTGTGAGTATTTATTATAACTGGGATACATTATAATTGCACATTAATTTTTTTTTGTTAAAAATAATAATATCTGTTACATAAAGAGTATGAATAGTTTTGCTCATTCACGAGAATAATTCTATATTTCTATTAAATATAAAAAAAGTAACGCGATATACAAAAGGGGGCCTAAGAAAATGTGTCACTGTGCTGATTCCGCGTATCATCTTATTCAGTCAAGTTTGTCTTCTTGCTACAGGTACTGAACATGGCTGATGGGTTAATTGAGTGCAAAACAACAATGTGTTAACGTTTTCATCGACATAGTAATTATTAAGATGATGTTTTGGCGCCACAATTTTGGGGAAAAGTCGTGCCGCGTATTTACCCGTGTTCTGGTTAGAGGGGAGTGGACCATGGAAGGAACTCGCCTCCCGCCAGTGGTTGATACGCATAGCGCCGGCTGTACTATATACTATCGCCTTACCGGCCGGCGGTACAGTCGTCGCGAACGGACCGCAACGCTAACACGCACACCCTGAGCAGAGCGGCCGTCGCACATCAGCACAACACCAAAACGAGTTTCAAGAACAACTGACATCACGTGTTTTCCCTGCCGACCGGTAGACTATTCAAGCTCGACATTTTTACACGGGCGCCGCTCTTAAAAAATTAGTATTGCTGTCGGTGGTCCGTAAACGTTCGGTAATCAAATAGTGGAGAGTACCAGAGCAGCTGGTACAAATCAGGGCAAAGGCGATTCGGCCGCCCAACGACACGATTCCGTCAAAATGACAAATCCACCAGCTACCGTAATCAAGTAAGTTTTACGAACATTTTTTTTTTTTCGAATGTCTTGGAATTGATTATGAACTCTTTAATGTAAGTTTGTTAAACAAATATTGATTTACCACATTGGTGGGATTTTTTCCAATTAACCTGTAAAAATAGATTTGAAATTAAATACCCGACCACCGGAATAATTAAATATTAATTTAACTCACAGGCATACATAATAAATATAATCATTGGTCATAATGTTAGTTAAATGTTGCCGAACTAGGATGATTTCAAAAATATTAATTATACGGCAACGGTACTGATCTTTTTAAAAGTTCGCGATAATGAAACTTTAAATAGAAAATTCATTTTTTAGCCAACATTTTATTTATATTTTCAACGTAAGAAAAAAAAATGGCTTAATGACAATTTTTTTTCACCTAACATGAATAACAGTTTTATGATCCGTGAAAGTTCGCCAATACTTGTTCCGCTTATTATATGCATATTATCAAGTTTTTATGATTTTTCTCATTGACGGACCGAAGCAATTATCTGCAACAGGTCGAACTAGTTAAAACGACCATCATGGTACACATAAAACCAAAACAAATGCCTATGGGCGTAACTTTCTCCCGTTGTTTCAATATTTTTGTTATTGTATAATCGAAAATAATTTCCATGATATATAATAGTCAAATGTCAATGCGGTTGACAACTGTAAACATTGTGGTAAGACGATCCCGAAATACAAATCGTATTGTTCTCCTGATATTGTACTACGCAGCCTATTTCCCTTCTTTTGCCCAAAGCTGTAGCGCATAAAAAAATATCAGGAAGAGTATCATACAAAACAATTTTTTGCTCGCCGTATAGACTTACTACTGTTACGATCACATAATTTACCCACTGACCCAAATACATTTGTTCTCTGACATTTGTTTTGTGTTTGTATAATCAATGGCGTTCAACAATTTTAACGTATTATCTTTGGGACATTCTTGTAGGATACAACACAGAAAATATACTTCTCTACCAAATAATAGTAATAGACAATACAAAATTAAGTTTGTCACACAAAAGATTTTTTAGCGTAACATATTATAAAAAAAAATAATGTTCTTAGAAATAGTTTTATCTTATAACTATCAAAATGGAAATTTTTTCTTTTCAGTCTGTTTGTAGTTCACTAAGAATTTATCCAAAAACTATCCCCTACGTCAGTATGATATTTTTAATACACACATTTTACTCACGTGTAGTGTAATTTTTACATAAAATATCGAAAATTCATACACAAATACAACATTATTATCACTATTTTTCTTACACAGTTTGCGTTAAAAACGTTCAGACATATCTGTGAAAATTTGAACATATTTTTTTAAGAGTACATGAATAGTATTTTCTTAGATATTAATTAATGACTACATAAACTAATTAAAATTAATTTAGTCTGAAAATAATCATAAAAACAAGTGTTTTTTTATTTTTTTATTTTATTTTTTTAGTTTGAACTTTGCCACGCCATTCTATTAAATTTAAATTACTACATTTCTTTTATTATATTGACCCTGATAACAACTTTCAAAGTCCGCTACAACTCTATAAGCCATTTATAAATCCCTGGGTCGTTCTCAAACAGGCCCAAGACAACGAATGAAATAAGTAAATAAATTTCATATAATACGTTTAAAGGTCCATGTATTTACTAAAAATTTAAAAAACACATATTTTTTTAAAATAATTATTGTTTTAGTTTCTGTTAGTTTAAACATAAAATAATCGTTTCAATAGATGCAAAAAAATAAGAAATTATTACCTGTTGACCTATGTAATTCATGATCTGTTGTCCACGGCCGCAAAGTGTTTTTTCTTCTCCTGAAAAATTTAGATTTTGTGATTTAGCACTTGTTCTATGTCATCGCTTTAATTGGTGTTTATTTTATAGATAATTACTTCAATATTATGTTGTTTATTTTTTAATTTCAATAGAATTTAACTCGGTTGTGGTTTTTGTTCAGTTTGTGTCAGATTATTTATATCTCAATAAATAATTAACTAATAAAAAGATTTCTTTTGGGAAAATTATAATAATAATAAAAAAATTAACGGCAATATCGTTTACCATGTAAATACAGTTATTCTTTTTGGTATTATTTTATTTTTCTTTCACGTAGAGTGAAAGCGAATAGAACGGATAGTTCATTTCACACGAAAGTCATATGATAGTTGTTTTGTTTGGGCAAGTACAGCACAATGTGTATTGTGCAGAAATCTTGGTTAATTATTCGATTTCCAAACCAAAAGTAATTTATTATCAAGTAGTAAACAGTCTATTATTTTTGTATTGTTGACTTATATTTTATAGGTGGGTTTTATTAAATTGTTTATCTATTCAAAACATTTGATAGATTTAACGCAGTTAAACAATTAAAATTGACCGCTAATTTACCTGTGTTTTTCTCTAATTCGAAATTTATCTTGATCGTTAGAAGAAGGCGCATTACCAATAGAATTTTCCTAGTACTGATTCAAGTCCATTATGTATTTAATTGTACTATTTAACATGAATTTCTTTTTTTTTTTATATATATATATATCATTAAAATATTGTGGTCAACGCTAATAATCATGAACGTTTATAATTTAATGAAATCGTACAGTGCGAATATTTATCTGATTATTGCAATTATATTACTACAGAATAATTCAAATATTTTTCTTCGGAAAATAATCAAAAACGCGTTGCTCATAAGTCGCATCCTTCACAAATGAAAAACGATTTTTTTGTTATAAAGAATAAATATTTAGCCTTTTTATAGCCTTAAGTCAATATTATGTATGACATTATTGTCAACTGAGTTTTAGAGATAGTTATCAAAGTTCATTATTAAACTACTTTATAATATATCTTGAAAATAGTCACTTTGTTCAAACAAAATATAATCAATATTGAGTTAATGTAATAATGAAACATTATTTAATTTCCATAACGTTACATCATAGTACCTTCTTTAAGTCTTTTTATATTTTTCCTCCTTCATCGTAAGTGGTTAATTTCTTGTCCGTTACAGAGGAAAAATTTATTTAACGTTCTATCTGTGTACGATAAATTGTTTCTCGTGCGCTGCAAATCGGCTACTTACAGATTAAGGGGGGGGGGGAAATATTGATAAAATTACTGTTTTCGTCGAATCCGGTTACTTTGTCCTGACGTTTTGAACGTCTGGACGTATTCCAAATTATACATGAATTCTAGTTTTATTAACGCGTTCGGGTCGGTACGAAGATATAAAGGATCGATAAATTTAGTATTTCGCTCGCCAAATCAAATGAGACAAAACAAGTTTATTAAGCATGTGTAATTATAATAATTTAGGTGCCCGACACGTGAGGCCTTTAAATTATCAGTAATCTGCATCGTGCGTTGCCTTGCATTTGCGTGACTTACTTGCAGCGTATTTTAAGCATTTAACAAACAAAATCAACCTTTAAAATTATTTACTTATATTTGCTTTATTTAAACAACACCTAGTAATAATTTCAGACTTTGTCGTCTCATTCTTAGTGCAGTTACATTTCATTCCTTTTTATTTCTCTAAGTTTTATAAAAAAGGAAATCCTACTGGTACTAGTCTTCCGGTACGAAAATATGTTATCATCCCACACATATGTCAGTACTGGTATCCGCTTCTGCGCCAAAACTGCCAATACTGCCGCACTATTGTGACTGTTGTTAATGATTAGGGTTTTATAAAATCTTTACCCTCCGTTAGTAATCAAACAAAAAACATTTAGACCTTTTTAAATTCTTATTCGTAGTGTAATTCATATGGTGGCGCAACGTTGATTCACATACGTCTGAGTGCAGACGCGACGCTTCCAAAATGATAACATCATTGTTATTGTAATAGTTTTTATTTGATCAACGGGCAAGACTCCTTACTAAAGCATAGAGCTATTGTTTTAAACACAACACAATTTCATTCATTTCGAAACTTCATGTGAACATAATTTTCACAGACGGTTTGTAATATTTAACTTCAATGGAATTATCGTTAAAACACTGGTCACATTTCTAATCGGGCGAATCTCTAGTAGCGATCCGACTGCATTGATTATTGCTGCAATAATTATATTTTATGTTTTTTTTGGCTTGAAGTTTGTGCTAGAATGTCGGTAGTAAGAATTAATGTAAAATAGTTAAATGTGTAAATAGGTAGTTTTCCAGAGCAAGTCAATTGTTTTTATATTTTTGATTTACATTCAATGAGAAACGCAATGCAACTAGTCTCGACTTATTGGGGACAAGGATGGGAAACGAAATTCAATCACTGCGTTGAATGATTAAACACCAAGACCCATGCGGTTGTATAGGACACGCGCCGGTGTATATTATCGCATCTCATGTGCCATGAACAATAGCTCACAACGTAGTATCCATTAGGTTAATCTCAGTAATTTTCATAATTATTGTATTAGATTTAATTGGCACCATCGAGTGTTCAATCGAAATTCAAGTGGTAAGCACACTCTTTGGATGACAAAAATTGAAGTAATTTTGTCTTATATCGGTCAATGTCGAACGCCCATTGAATAAGATTAAATCGTTTTAATCATCATCACAACCCGCAATGTCCTATGACATAAGCTCATGACTATAATTTTTATTACAATTACAAAGACAACAATGCGATTAAGCCATTAGTTATATTTTGCCCAGCACACAAATACACATTATTTTATGGGCACTTAATGCGTCAACATTATCATTGTTAGCAGATCGTACATGAATAACACAGTTAGTTACCTAAAAAAAATTATAAATGAAACATACCATAGTTCTTGATATTTTATCTAGAAAAACTTAACCTATATGTATAAAAATCATTTGCCAACTTGTTTGTTTTAATTTAGCATACATAGTATTTAAGTCATCAGATGTTTGACGACAATATATGCATTCAATAACCACTGCTCACTTTTACAGAACGAATGAAAATAACTACGAATTTGATATGCAAACATATGGGTAAATATCCTAACAAACAACAAGTAATTTCTTGAAAAATATCCTAACTCAAATAAATTGGATTTCATTGAAAAAAAAAACATTAACAGCCATTTAAGATTATGAGAATCAAACCTGAGTAGTTTCTCAATTCCCAACCGAGTGTTTTTTATCATTCACCTTCAATTTGATTTCTTCATGTAAAATATTAATATATTCTTGTATGTAGTGTATGTTATCTCATTAAAAAAATTTCTATTTCATCATACTAACAGCCAATTACATATTGATAGAATGTTAAATTTGTTACAACCCCTATGCACACGATTTTCTTTAAAAAATTTAAACAGTGACATGCACAACAATGCTCACTTCAAACACGTCTTAACTTAATTATTTTGACGGGTCGAACAATGCTGTTGTATTATTTTCAATGATCACGTTGAATTGCATAGTAGTTTACTCTCTCCGCGGTTATGTCATTATTATTGGCGTCGGACAATCGCCGCTTCCATTAGGTCTCTCATTAATGACCGTCCGTTGTTCGCGACAAAGTTGTTAATTTTCGCTGGCAGGTCGTGCTGTCTGAGTTTACCGTTTAGAACTTCTAAACGCAATCTTATTGACAATTAATCTGATCTTGATGGAGAGACCCGATCAATAGTGAAACTACCCTTGGACTATTATCTACAGCACAGATTTCTATCGAAATGGGCAACAAACGAAAATAAATAATTGTATTGTAATAAAAATAATGAAATTAAAACGGGCCACTACATTTGTAAGGTCGTGAGGCGCTGAAGGAGAGAAAGTAATTGGCCGGAACGTCTTTGGGTCAGATCCACTGTGGGGTAAAGGTCAAAACAAAATCGTAACCTTAACGAGGCGCTCAACAATCTTCTGTTGTTTTTTTACACAAAGAATTAATTAAAGTTATGTTGAACGATCAAAATGTTTAAATCCGGATACAATGATTATTTTTTTAATATAATCTTGTGAAAATATTAGTCCTCGTTGAAAATTTGATTTAAAATTTTATTGTTTTCCATTCAGCGAAAATGCATAAAATTCGGCAGTTATTTAAAGTTAATTTCGACAAGTCACGTTTGACGGTAAAAGTTCAACCTAAAAATGTTTGGGATATTTGAGGTGTTTAGAAAATGTGCATGTGCAGTTCTATAAATACTAGCTAATGTCATTAGATATCAAATACTGCACGCACTAACGTTTAGCAAACAAATAAAAATAATAGATTGTTTTATAAAACAAATATTGTCAGTATAAGACAATACATTTTAATTAACTTATCAATTCCCACACACGACTAGGATGTGCATGTGATTCAGAGCAACGATAATAAGCATTTAACATCTTAAATAGATTGTGTTATCCATGTAATAGTCACGCTAAAGGTTTAGCGTATTACACTTATAATCGTTTAATACATTTTTTACTCGCACGAACATAGTTAACGGAGTTAAATACATAAAGTCATTAAAATGAGATTTAATGCAACGATTCGATTAGATGGCAAGTAACTACTATGACATAATGTTATGAGAAAAATTGTTTCTTTATATTCTTAAAGTTTAATTTTAAGCTTTATTAAAGTTTTACTCAACTCTTTAGCACTTTACCCGAGTTTTCGCAGTCCTGTGGTAATTATTTAAGCGGTCGACATCAATAAACAAACAGCTCTTGATTAATTTCCCATTGACAGGTTTTGCATTATAAGGGCCTTTTTTACTAAGTCGCGCTTTTGACAAAGGCTAATTATTTATGCCAAGAGATGGCAAAAAAAGACAATATTTGGTTTATCTGACCACGTTTAGTATTGAAATTTTTAAGCATGTTCACAAATCAAGCATAAAGATACACAAAACAATTTATATCAAGTCTTTCGTCGAAATAATCAATACTGACCTTCACTGAACGAATAGTGTTTATTCTGGAGGAAATCGAACCAAAACGTAGGTCGTAATAATCAAATTCATCAAANGAAATAATCAATACTGACCTTCACTGAACGAATAGTGTTACAATGAATAATGTGCGGGTGGTCGAAGCTGTGTCGGCAAGAATGTATTACTTTTGTATTTTTATTTTAAGATCGTTAAAATGACGATCAGTGCGACAGTTGCTCGAATACGCCGCAGTGTAAACATAAGTAATTTGCTGATACCGATCTATTGATGTTATTAATTTGGAATACATTAATATTGACCTTAATACGTTCACAGCGGTTAACAGTTGAACGTTAAAGCTACCGTACGATTTTTTTTGCAAATTTCTTTTTTAGGAACTTGAACAAGACTCTTTGTATTTTTTTTTTTTAAATAAATTATTCATGATTTGTATTCCATATGCTGAATAAACTCGTTTACTTGTTCGGTCAGTGATCTCACAAGTCAACTTATAATCCGCAAACTTGTTAACCGTAATGTCTCGAACGGTTATAATAAAATGCAAATGCAAAAATGTATAATATTAATCGCACATATTCGACACGTTTACTAGTTGTAAAATAGAATACGCAAGAGGAACCTGCCGTTTGCTGTTTTTAAAACGTATTATATTTAACTAGGAAAAAAAGATCAGCTGACGCTAACAAAACCGCGACTTCCGCATGAAAAAGACCTGTTGATCGATTCTCATAAGAAAACCGGAGAGAAAATGAAAACATCTGTTGGCAGACGTCGTGTGTTACAATAATTTGTTTCGCCATTAATCACAAAGCCGTTAATAGTGTTAACGATGAAGGGATCTGCGCCAGCGCAATGTTATGCACACAAGATTTTCCCTGTTTTCCCTTTCTTTTTTTTTTTTTTTTTTTGTACAATGCGTTAGTTCATGTAACGAAAATTTTAAGCCATTTAATCGTAACACATAAGGTGTACACTGTCAATTGGTCACGGACGATTTCACGAGTTCCCTGGTCCGTCTTCGCACAAAAGTGACGATTTTTGTGTCTTTTGACGGTGTGCAATGACTACGTGTATTAATCATCGGATAGAATTATTATAATGACACAAAAGTTATAGATTGTCGCCAGCACACGATCGCGGTGTGAAAAACAATCGTTTTAAAAATAATTGTTATTTTTAGCGTACAGTCAGGTGTTTAGTGGTAAGGTCGTCTAAAAACGCCCGCCAAAATTATTTTAGTTTTGAAGTTATTCGCGTGCTTAAATCGTTTTATTTACGGCTATTGCAATACAGAAGACCAAAGGTCATTGCTCGGTCTACCTTTGGCATTGGTTAAGAATTTTTTTTGCTCGATGATCTCAGTTAATATTTGTTTTTCGTTAATGGTTTTTATATGAGTCCTGCCGTCAGCAGTTTGCACATGAGCAATTACCAGTATCAGTGTAAAATTAATTATTTATAGATTTAATATTTATATTTTTTAAGTTTGCAATTATCATATGAATTGTATACAATTTTATTGGAAAACTAATATTCATATAATGCATAATAGCATGTCGTTTTTTAATTGGGTGGAATAACGTGAAACATAACGACTATAGTAAAACATATTTTACTTTTACTTTTACAAGAGACCAAATATTGTCAAAAAAAAACAATTAATTCTTGCTATTTTATTTTTATTAAACTGTATATAATAATAAAAATTTTCTAGTTTAAGCAAAATGTGTTATGTTACAGAAACCCAACATGGTGGAAGAGGAGGACCACCTTAGAAAGAAACTTGACCGTCATAGCCGCCTGCACGGTGTTGGCGTCACTATTCCTAGCCTTAGCCTTGTCCACGCTGTACTTTAACCACAACTGTAATATGGGTAAGTAATATTAACGGTATACACGAGTCGATTTTCCGATAGATAATGAGAAAAAAAAAACAAGTCATCAAAAACATGAACTAAAGAGATAAGAAACTTATAACGGGCTACTAGGGAACCAGTTTATAATGAGAGCATCGATTTGTCTGTGTAAACTGACCGGTATTGTTGCTCTACATAATTTTAATATTTAACCCGATAACAACACAAAATTGGTTGCAGTAATTATTTTATTTTACATCATCGACAATTGCGTCGGATTAATAAAAAAACGTTGTCCTATGATTATGCGAATGAAACTTTGGTTTATTTAAAAATTTTCGAATGACATTTCAATACATTTTTATACAAGTTGTAGATTTGTTTTTAATTTCCTTTGGGGCCTAGAAATGTAATGATTTTTATTCGACTCGGAGTAAAAATCCAACTACCTGCTTTGAATAAAAGTTAATAAAATATTGACTTGTGGAGAACAGTCACAATAATTCAATTACTTCACCAAGTACTACGATGGCACAGCGTACGTACTTATGAGTAATAATATTAATTAAACGGCGTAGTGATTACAATTTATGCGCGTACCGACTCCAAGTCGTTTAGCGGAAACCGAAAAAACCTTGAACATAAGAAGTTATGCTAGCATTGATTATTTTAAAATATAGGTATTATTAATAATGAAATGATATGAACTAATACACTATCTATAATTGCTGGAGTTTGTTTTCGGCTATAAAACAATAAATTTTGCTAACAAGTTGTTTTTGTGAATTTATTCATACGTAAGATAAAATTATATAGAAACATAACGTTTTATTTATAATACGAAATAATGCGCAATTCGTGTAATTTTTTTTTCAATAAGGCTAAAAATAAACACATTACAGATATAATCTTGCTCGCAGAATGTTTTTAACTTTATTAGTAAACAATATTATAAATTTGTCAATCAATGTCAAATTCGTATTATCTATTATTTTAAAATTAAAAAAAAAATGGAATTACTTTTGTAGTTATTACAGTCCAATTATGTTTTACGACTTATTTTTAATAAAATTATTTATTGACATGACCAAGTAGAAGTTCAAAAAAAATCAACTTTTTTATGTTAATTGTAAAAATACGAAGTGTGTTACTTACGACATTTTACAATTACATAATTTATTACCATATTAATATATCTTCTAAATCTAACACAACTTTTTAACAACCTATTATTGTATTCATGTTGATTTGTATGAATGAATGACCTATAAGTAACTTTTTACTAGTTTTTGATTGGCATTTATGATCTGATTATTTTTAACGAATTCAAAACTATAAAAGATAATCTTATTAGTAAATAACTAGTCGTATTTAAATTTGATTCTATGGTAACTTTTGTTAGCTTTTCATTCGTTAATTCTACACATTTGAAAAAATAATTTTAACGTGTCAATCAAAATTTTAATTTTGACGGTTTCTAGTTGGCATGTATTTGAGAGTTCTAATCGTATGCGAAAGTATTTTAATATTTTTTGCGCATCTCCGGTAAGAATATATAAGTAGGCAATATTAAAATAAAAAATAAATATTTTATTTAAATAGTTAGCAGATGACACATTTTGGTCAGCTTATTTAACTTTAAAATAAATTATTTAAAAAATGAAATGCGAGGAATCGTTTTTAATGCAAATTATTTTATGGCCCGATGAGTGGCAGTTTTAAATATAAATGATTTTCACATTAACATTTTATTGATTCGATTTTATACCAACACTTAATCCCTTTATTACAGCAATTTATATTTAAATTCTATAATCAAGTCTATAATTAAAAAAAGGATAGTTGATATCAAAGGACGTATAGTTTTAAAAATTAATTTTTTAAAAACAGAATAAATTTTTTTTTTTTTTTTTTGTGAGGTCTTGAATATAAACATATTTTATTTATATCTTAAAGATTTTTAAAATAAGTACCGATAAATCGAATACAATTAAATTGTTACAATTCGAGTATATTTCCTAATAAACAAAAAGTGTAATTTTAAAAATGAATTCTAGTAACTATAACTACTACTATATCTGTTTAAAATTAATACAATTGTTGTACTCACTAACTATACTTAATAAGCAATACAAATAAACTTGACTAAATTTATTGTCTCTGATTCTTTTTTATCTTGACGCTGGAGTTTCATTTTTCAATTATTTTAAAATCATGAGAGTTGTGCAATATCTAAATTTCTATTTTTTCCAAATAAAATCTATTATGCATTATTTATTTATTTTGTTTATAAACGCGCACTTTTTATTGTTGTATAGAAAATTAAATATATTTAATATTTCATATGTGTTTGTCACAGAGAATTTACCGACGATATCAGCTGAAAACAATGGATTGGTAGGTAAACCTCGTGCTAGAAGCCTATTTCAAACCAGGGAAAGAGAAAAGGAAAATATATGTTTGACTCCGGGTTGTGTGAAAGCCGGTAAGTGTTTTCCTTGGTCGTCCATTAATAAACTTATCTTGTAAGCCATGTGTCTTGTTCTTTTATATCAGCGTCGGCCGTCCTTAATAACATGGACCCATCAATAGATCCATGTGATGACTTTTATGAATTTTCATGTGGAAACTTCATCAAAGAGACAGTCATTGAAGACGACAAAACATCTGAAACGACATTTAGCGCCATCAGCGATAGTCTATTAAATAAACTTAGATTAATCATCACCGATCCTATTAAACCAAACGAACAAAAACCATTTAAAATGGCCAAAATGTTATACAAGTCGTGTATGGACAAAGGTAAGTAAAATTATTAGTTCAAAATAACAACTAAATAATGATTAACCGTATTATTATTTTTGATTAGAAAAAATTGAAAAGCAGGGATTGGGGCCAATTAAAAACATATTGAAAACTCTTGGTGGATGGCCAGTTCTTGAAGGCGATAAATGGAACGAAGCACTTTTTTCATGGAAGGACAGTGTGTACAAATTCCGGACAGTTGGTTATAGTGTTGACTATTTCATAGACTTTTCTATCAGCACCGACTTGAAAAACACTACTTCTAGGGCTATTGATGTAATTTTTTTTTTTTTTGCAATTCATTTTTAATAATTTGTGTTGAATTTCATTTTTTTTATATATTTTTTTAAAGCTTGACCAAGCTTCATTAGGTTTAAGCAGAGAATATTTAGTTAAAGGTCTCGAAGAAAAGATTGTTTCGGCTTACTACAAATACATGGTAGATATCGCTGTATTATTTGGAGCTGATCGCCAAAGAGCTACTCGCGAACTTAAGGAATCATTAGACTTCGAAATAAGTTTGGCCAAGATATCATTACCCTTAGAAGAACGTAGAGATGCTGCCAAATTGTACAACCCAATGTACATTTCTGAACTCCAACAAAGGTTCCCTAGCATACCATGGTACGAGTACATAAATACTCTCCTATCTCCATTGAGTATCCGATCGGATGATATAATAATTGTAAACTCCCCAAAATATATGGCTGATCTGGAAGCCCTTCTAAGCACAACGCCAAAAAGGTAAAGCTCTTTTTATTTGATTAAAATTGAAGAAAAAAACAATGAAGTTTAAAAATTAATTCAATTACACTGCTAAAGCAATTTTTTTTTGAAAGTTAATGTGGAAAAAAATACTTAAATAAAAAACAAACTTAATAAAAATCATATTTTCTTAGAATTCAAGCCAACTACGTATTATGGAGAGCAACAGCAGCTTCTGTAAGTTATTTAACCGAAGAACTTAGAAAAAGACAACTGGAGTACAGTACAGAATTGTCCGGAAGAACTGAACGAGAACCCAGATGGAAGGAGTGTGTAGATATTGCTTCCGGAAGTTTTTCACTTGCAATTGGTTCGTTGTACGTGAGAAGATTTTTCCACGAAGACGCAAAAAAGAACGCTTTAGAAATGGTCACGGGTATAAGAGAAGAGATGTTGAAGATTCTGTCACAGGTTGATTGGATGGATGATAAAACTAGGTAAACTAAGATAAAATGTAAAAAGATATCTTAGATTAGGTGAATATGTACTACTAGAAGAAAAATTTTACTGGACGCTTAACGTGTTTTTAGTATATTAACCAAAAATACCCCAAAAAACGATCGTTAAATATTAATTTGATCAAAAAAAGTCTATCTTTGAAATTTTAATGAGAACCATTTTAACTTTATTATATACATTAAGATAGTCATTTTGTGAAAATTTGACATTTTTGAAAAAAAATTTAATGGTCGCTTAACGTGTTTTTAATATTTAGACTAAAAAACCAAAAACGGCCTCTGTTATTCAACTTCTGGTCAAATATTATTATTAGCATATCAAAATAGTTTGATTTTTACCATAGGCTACAAATTTTTTAGTTTCAAAATTATGAGTTGTAAATTGATAGCATGGATACCATAATTAGCATCATTATATAGTATATTTCTAATATGTCTCAAGTAAGCTTAAAATTAAAATGAAAAAAAATTGTTTTATGCAGTTTGGCGGATATTATAAGTAGAAACAAAAATATTCACTAATCATAAAAATTTAAATCTTTTTTTTAAATAAAGTATAAGCTAAAATATTTAATATTCTTAAAAATATTATTAAATGGCGGTTGATCAATAAATACTTTTTTTTTAATTAAATATTATTTTTTTTCTATCAAACAGTTCATTTATACTAAATATAATAAATAACATAAGAATGCAATTTTATGTTATGATAAAGTTATACATCAGTATATATCTAATTAAAATTTATGAAAAATCAGCAAATCTATATGAAACCACAGGTTAACTTATTTTATTTCTCGTGGTCATTAAAACATTAGTTACCATTTTAATTTTTGATATGAATATAATTACATCATAATATAATTTTTTTTAAACTAATACAGTTTAAATATAAATTGTAATTTAAGCTATAGATATTTATTACATATACACATTATTTCATTTTTTTACGTAAAAAGTCTTTGTAACTCATTTTTTTGTCTATATACTGAATTACATTTGACAATTATTATACACAAATTTTTAGTAAAATTTACGTTCAATTTAATTTTAGTATATAATGGAAAATTCAAAGACCAAATATCATCATCTAACGATTAAGCTAAAAAATATATTATTAGTCAAGAGCTATCATGAAAAGGTTCTGTATTAGCTAATTTTTTACATTTTCAAAGTGTGGTCAAAAAACCATATCTATTAGTCATAATCTATCTTCAAAGCCATTAATATACGAAAATTAATCGAAAACTAACAGCTCCATAACACTTAAATGTAAAATCGTTGTATAAGTAAAACTTCTCTATACGAAGTGGATAAAGTTAAAAAAATAATAGTAATGTTCAAAATAGATAAGAATTTAAATTTCTGAAATCATTAGATACTGTACTAGATATTTCGGTCACTAATTCTTTAGATACCAATTTTTTTAACAATGAAAGTAAATTATTTATTTTTAAACCTGTTTTTAGCGCTTAGACTTCAGAATATAATACAATTGCCATGAGAACTACACATTCAATTATTAAAATAATTGAAAAGTATTTATTGATCAACTATCATTAAATATTTTTAAGAATATTATACATTTTAGCTTAATCTTTATTTTTAAAAAAAGGTATAATTTTTTAAGATTAGTGAGTAATTTTTTTTTCTACTTATAATGTACATAAATATCTTCCAAACTGCATAAAAAACATTTTTTTTTTAATTTTAAGCTTACTTGAGATCTACTATAAATATATAATATAATGACGCTTAATTATGATATCCACACTATCAATTTACGACTTAAAATTTTGATACTAAAAAAATCGTATTCTACAGTAAAAATCAAACTATTTTGATATACTAAACATAATATTTGACCGAAAATTGAATAATACAGGTCGTTTTGGGATATTTTTGGTCAGAATACTAAAAACACGTTGAACGACCAGTAACATTTTTTTTAAATATTCCAAATTTTCACAAAATGCCTATTTTAATGTATATAATAAAGTTAAAGTAGTTCTTATTAAAATTTCGATGGTCGACTTTTTTTGATCCCCTTAATTTCATGTATGCACATTATACATACATGAAATTATTTAACATATAACAGGCGTTAAAAAAATAATAAGCTAAAATCATAGCTAACATATTTATCAGACTGATCTAACATTTTAAAATTATAAAGTTACTTGTAATAAAAAATAAATTATGAAGCGCTATTAATCCTTCCAACTTATCACATACAAAACAATAAACTTAATTTTTAAAATTTTTCATACTTAATAAATTAATTTATGTAATTGTAAAATAATATAGTTTTTTAATTAATAATCATGACGATTGTGCTTGTGTGTGAATTTAAATGAAATTTATTTTTATTATTTGGATTAAAAATTTTTCGGTTTCAGGAAAAATGCTTTAGACAAGGCAAAATCAATGACATCTCATATCGCATATCCAGATGAACTTTTGGACGATTACAAACTGATCGAGTTTTATGGAAATGTAAATACAACATATTTTTTTAAATCTTGTTCGTAACTAATATTTAGTATCTCTTATAGCTTGAAGTTAATGACGATGATTATTATACCTCAGTTTTGAACTTAACCAAATTCGGTACAGACTATAGTTTTTCTAGGCTAAGACAACCGGTAAACAAATCCGATTGGATAACACACAGTAGAACTGCCATAGTAAATGCGTTCTACAGTGCCATTGAAAACAGCATTCGTAAGATTTATTTAAATTCTAATCTCAATATATTTTATAAATTTGATGAGTATAATTATTTGATTATAGAATTCCCTGCCGGAATTTTACAAGGAGCTTTCTTCTCTAGTGACCGTCCACGGTACATGAACTACGGTGCCATTGGATTTGTAATTGGCCACGAAATAACTCATGGTTTTGACGATCAAGGTAGACAATTTGACAAGGATGGTAACTTAGTAGACTGGTGGGATGAAAAGACTAAACAAAGGTATCTGGAAAAGGCGTCGTGCATTATTAACCAGTATGGAAATTACACGGCTAAAGAAGTCGACTTAAAGGTAAAATAAATGATTAAAAAATCATTTTGTGATTCATACTTTTTCCAAACATTTTATTTTGCCGATTTATAAAGGCAACACTATTGTATAAATGGTATAATATTATTCGCACCACTGTATTGTCTAAAGATATTTCATCTCTTATGCAATATATTTCCATAATGTGCTTCAATACATAAACATAATATTAAAACCATCAAAACACAAAATACGAAAGTATATTATTCTTGCTATAAACTTCTATACTTTTTTAAATATTAAGATTTAAACTTCTCAAATTCTTAACTGCATAATATCAGTTACCAATTAATACTTATTAATTATGAATTATTCTATGGTAGCTTAATGGAATTAACACGCAAGGTGAGAATATCGCTGATAACGGTGGTGTAAAAGAGGCCTACTACGCATACAACGTATGGACTAGACGACATGGCATTGAACCTAGACTGCCAGGATTACAAGACTATACACCTCAACAAATGTTTTGGATCAGCGCAGCTAACGTGTGGTGTTCCAAGTATAGACCAGAAGCTTTAAAGAACCGAATCACAACTGGTTTCCATTCTCCGGGTCGTTTCCGAATCATAGGACCATTCTCTAACCTAGAAGACTTTGCCAACGACTTCAAGTGCCCGTTGGGTTCCAACATGAATCCAGTGAACAAATGTCAAGTGTGGTAATCTTGTAACTACGGCATAACTTTAAGTACAATCACATTCATCACTCTACAAAAAAAATTCTACCGGTGACACATTTGTTACCGTTGATTTTTGAATTTTAAAAACCCGATTTAGTCTCAACTATGTTGGAAACAACGGGTAAACTCTATACCTAACTCACGCGAGCTTTATCTGTGGTAACATTATTTATTTATATTTACTTACAATTATTATTTTATCTATTTTACTGTAAATCTATGTGGTATTATTATTATTATTATTATTAGTATTTGCTATTTTTATTTTAATTATTACAATTTTAAATATATTTATATGTATCTTTTAAGACACTGTATGTACTCATGACATTATTTTATATGTGTTGAAAATAGGATTTTAGTATTGAAAAGAGAATGTTTAACATATTAAAAAATAAAAAATAGAAATGTTATTTTTATAATAATAATTATGTATTCTGTATTTTAACGTTATAAAAATAAAATAAAACAAATTGTATATACAAGTCAACTTTTATGTCAGATTAGTTAGAATTGAGTTATCTTTGGTAATTTTAATTGCTAAATTTTAACTAATGCAACATAAAAAATAATTATATATAATATACACATATATGATTAGCCTCGTGAGTTATTTCAGTCTATTTCTACAACATAGGTAGCAGGAAACACTCCGGTTGTACCTTCTAGTTCTCCATACCACCAACCATCTGACTTTTTGCTATGCACTCGAATAATATCACCTGTTACATTTTAATTATTCTCAAATTAACAAAATTTAGTAGTGATATTAACTTTAATGAGAAGGTATTAATAATTATCTAAACATATTAAAATAACATTCTTACCGGGTTCTAAGTTAAGCTCATCGTTTAGTTTTGCTGTATATGGATAGATAGCTTTACACCGTGGACTACTAACGTCGACACTATTATCTTCGTCGCTTGAGAAGTCATCTATTAGTAAAATTCTCCGAAAATTAATATGATTCATATCTTAAAAAGCGTTAATTAAAAAATGAAGTTTGTTGCCAAGAATGAGAAAAAGAAGTTTTAATAAAGAATTACGCCACACCAAGAAGAAAGAAAATGTACCTTTAAGATAGCAATATAAAATAGTTTATTAATTATTAAAATTATAAATAAATACTAGTGAGCAATAATGATAATTACAATTTAAAAAATGATATACATGTAAAAAATGTCAACGATATATTATTAAATGTTTACCAACAAAAATTGTTTATTATTATAAAAAATTGTGTTAATTTTTTTTAATTGTACTGTGCTTAGTTTTAGGAAGCCTCATAAGGTCTACAAGACACAAATGACACAGTGGCTTAGAACCAGTTTTGTTCACCAAACGCTTTGTTAAATCATAGAAAACATTCTCATATATTTTATCGTGCTGTGCACGAAAATACCAACCGATGTCAGTGCCGTCGGCCGACCCTCGATCAGACCAAGTGGGTCCATTATGTATGCTTTCTTCTGGCGCAGAAGACAACTTCAGACATACGGTTGAAGGCATCTACCAGCACACAATTTAATATTTAATATTTAAAATCGAAAGTACTAAAATTATATTATCTATGGCATACTTTTAACACAGAATGTTGATAACCATTTTTATCTCTACTCGTTTGTATGTGTTGAGACAAGGCATTGGATGTTGTAGGTAGTCTACCCTCTAACACATCTAGAGCAGTCACTACTTTATATTTGACTGCTTCCAAATATAAGATCATAAGATTTGTCTGTAAGAAAATAATAATACAATGAAGACAATAACATCATATTAAATAGTTTGATTAATTAATGATATTTTTAATAATATATAATGTAATATATATCGAAAAATATTTTAATTTTATTGAAATATATTTTTAACTTCACTAATTTATAGACTCAAAATGTTCTTTGGAAATAATATTGTTTTCTTACTCATTTAAAAATAAATCTTATTTTAAAAAATGCAATAATAAAAAAGCAAATAATTATTTTGACTAAACTTAAATTATGAAAAAAAGAATACATACTATAAATCGAGAAAAATAAGTTACTGCTTATGTAAAAAAATTTCAATAGAAAAAAAAATAAACAATAGATATAGTTTTTTTTTTAATTAATTGAAACTTTAAATCACTTACAGAAATACATTTAATAATATCAATAATCAAATATTTTAAAATAATTATAGTATAAATATGGCGGGCTCAGCTTTTTCTTATACAGACTTATACAGTCATATTTTCAAAAAAATAATAAGTTTTTATTTTTTTATTTACTAACATGGTGAAGTTTTTCATTGACGTTCTTATACGAATCGTCCTGTTTGAAGCTGGTAGAATTGTGCATTGCGTTTGACAAAGTATCTAGGCCTTGTTTGCTCCTTCTCTCCCGTTCTAAGTCTTGATTAATTAATTGTAATATTTTTGTTAAAGCCTAAAAATAAAATGGCTTAAGCACAATCAACCACCTTCATTACATAGAACATTCTGAATCTCACTGATATCCTTCTCCTTTTATTCATAGCCAAATGTGTGTGCTCCGGGTAAAAATCAGGCAAAACTTGGACACTAAGGTCTTCGTCTTCATATTTGTTCACACTGTCTGCAATGATACTAAAATCTTTTGGTACGTCGCATTCTGTTACCGGCTCGCTGAGACGCATAGAAATCTAGCGAACAAGTTGTAGTTAATAATGTAAATATTAAGTTGGCACATACAGTTAGAAGAAAGCTTTATGTTTACTTGAGAAATTTTTGGACCTATTTTCTGGTATGATTGTAGCATATGATGAGCGTATTCTTTTAGCCTCAATAGCCGCTCCTCTTCCATCGTCATAAAACTATTCTCTCCATTGCTAACTGACATTTCCCAATCGAGCCTAAACAAATCGTAATTAATCGGTTGAAATGTTTAAATTAATACAGTAATTCACTCACTTGGCTCTGGCTGTCCGGACACAGTACGTGTAGTATTCGGTATAACTTTTTTTGACAGATTCTTCAAGCTTGCGTTTTTTGCTTTCCAACTGAAACAAGTACAGCTATAATTTATTATTTATACTTTTATGCAGCTGACCTCTTAAAATGCACGTACTTTAGTCGCATCCTTATTAATATTACAGTTGCTCGTAACAATCGAATATGTCGTAACATCGGCTACCGTGTCTTGCATTTTTTCATTCTCCCTTGCAACGGAAAAACTTTGTTTTTTACTCTTTCGTTCGGCCGAACGCCATTCATTCATGTTCTTTTCTGTTAAAAAAAATTATTTCATTTTAAGTCAATCGACTGAGAAATATTTATGATTATATTAATAAAATTTAGATGACATGTGTCGCTTTACTGGATGGAACTCACCACACCCTTTTATGCCCTAGATTCTATGCTTTGCAGGACTCCGCACATATTATTGTCATATTCAGGTTATTTACTGTGTAATCATTTTTACTGGGTATCTATTTTTATTAATTCTGTCCCTCCTAAGATAGGGGATCCCCGTAAATATGATATGCTCGCGGTCGGCAAAACTTAGCACTGACACCGCGTAGTGCAATATTTTTTCTACAATATAAAAAATCCTCATTCCAACCGTCGAGTTCAATTGAACCGTATTGAATTTGATTAAGACGCCGTACCTTATATTGCTAATATAGTGATAGTTTATCAACTATGGATTTCGTGTCACATGGATACCGTTAAAACGGACAACACGAACCGTTTCAGAGACGCTCGCTGATTTCATAATGTATTATAACTATGCGATATTTTGAGTTTACTGTTTTACTTATATCTATTGAACACTATCTATTCTGCTTATTTTTTTATCAGCCCGACACTTTAGTAACGTATTATATCATATTGCTCGAGATATCATCACCGTGTATCTCTTCTCGTTAAATGCATAATCTTTTAAAATCCATTCACTTTCCACGCTAAGTCCTATTGTACTGTTACTTTCTTGAAGCTAACCACATGCCATTGAGAAATGGTCATTGCGCTCCTAAGCGAACCTACCGCACGCGTCACCGACTAACACAATTAATTTTCCACTATCTTATAATATCTACTCACTATCTTTCTATTAGTATGTTACTATTGTACAAAAGAACATAAAAATATAGGGAAAATCATGAACACTTTTAAATCGAGAAGGAATTGTTAATTGCCAATGTTACGCATTAGATAAAACATTCATGCAATAAAAACACGATTAACACCACTTAACATACCAAGTGCTTAAAAAATAACATATATCGATACTCACTAGTTTTAGTGACATCACACTCGACAGTTTTTTTGATTTTATACTGAGTGTCTTGTAAATTTTTCAACGGCTTGACTATATCTTCTTCTAGTGTGTTTGCAAAACACCGATGAACCTGACCGTCGGCCTCCATTTCTTTTCCTATATGCATCCATGCATTTTGGACGGAGCCCACGCCGTTCTTAGCTACTTTCACCAGTTTTGCTGAGAGCTTAGATAGTGTCTTTGCATAATGCATTTCTACCTCGACTCTAGAAAAAAAATAATTTACATAATGTCGATTATTTATATTAGTTAGAAGTGAACATACAGCATTAACCAAATGATAATAATAGTAATCTGAACTACGAAGTTTTAATGATTATCGTTTATTTGTTATTTTTTCTTATTAGCGATTAGAAAATAATAATTATTTATTTTTTATTTTTATTAATTATTGATAATGATGCGAAGTTTTAATAGCATGCGGTAACTAATGATTATCATAAACGAAAAATAAATGTTATGCATATTAATGACTAAGTAATGACTGAGGTATTATGTCTCATTGTTAACGATGGTCCATATGATGTTAATGTTTAGTTAGCGAAGGCAGAACACTCCTACAAAATAACTACCTTTCTTGCATGATGTTTGCCAACTCTTTGCAAAAGTCGTTGCCCTTTTTTACATATTTGCGCAGTTCGTGATACCTCGTCTTGCCCTAAAATATCACGGTCAATTCAATTAGGAAAATATGTGTTGCCCACAATATTAGGCTATTGTCGTGGGAAGTTGTCGAGGTTGAACTTACCATGGTGTCGAATTCGAATCCTCCACGTATTGTATATCGTAATCTACTCTTCTTGGCCGATGACAAGGTTTTGGTATTTGAATCCATCGTGCAAATCTGTCAACAAAAAAATATAAAATTTATTGCTATCGCACTAATAATGCTGTAAAAATGTATTTAGAAATATGGCTCTGTATTTTCTAAATGCATTAAATTATAACTCTTATTATTGTGTTTATTTTATTGAAAATGTTGTCTAGAAGAACCAGTCGGTCAGGCACTTTGCTGTAGCATACGATATTTATAAAGTACTCAAAGCGCGGCCGCCTCACTAGTTTTTGGGTTGTTTTGAAAGTAACGTCCAGCAGACCGTCTAGGCTCATCCTAACAAGGTCATCTGCTTTCTCCAGACCATAAAGAAGCGCAACACATTTATGATAGTACAACGTTTTCATTATTGTTTTTATTTTCAATGCAAAATAATTGATTAACTTGTTATGATATTAATGCATACGCATTTAACTGGCAGGTTAATTAGTAACGCTCCAGAAAATTAATTATCTCCAACCCCTAAAAAGCATTAAAATAACCAGCGAGAAACGTCTGGCGAAGTAGAGAAATTCTCACGTATGTCGATACCGAAAAGGTTAATTCCAATCGGTATAAGCGTAAACGGGCATAACCTGTTTCCGTGACATTTTTGCGGGAAACAATGCCGAGTTTCTCCAAATAAAGAAAAATATGTAACAGCACAACTATATTTATCATTACCGTTGCTGTCTTGTTGCCGTTAACCCCCAGCGGAGAAAATTGTTATGTGATTTCACACGTATCGGTTGGAGCAGATATTATACACTACCTATACTACAATTACAGGTCTCCCGAGTTCATTAATGTATATTAAATGCCGTATTGATGGTAACGAAAACAGTGACAAAGCTATTGAAAAACTTGCCCTTGTAGAGTCATCAGTAAAGTTTTGAACAGCGCTACTAGTGTGTATATAACGTGCGTACACAGAAGCGTGATGACAATCAACTTTATAAAACTGTGTTACTGTGGACGTTAAACATCCAAACACAAGAATCGACATTAAATCGTTAATCACGATTAGTTCTACTGATTCCCATTAAACACCGTTAAATTTGTCTTATAATCAATTTAATATCTATACGATGTTTCAACAGTCTTTACGAATCGTTGCCAAACGTTATGAACTAAATTGCCGTAAAATTGAATAATTCGTGATCACAATTTGTCATTCATTGATTTTATTTAATTTGTAAATTCATTTTGTTAACAAAAAATGTATACTGCACATAACTAGGTCGATTGTGAAGAGCGCGAAATAATTAAATGAACCATAAATGTTGTTTTATAGTTATCGGAAACGGCAAATAAAAATTTAGCTTATCGCGCGATCGAAACTCAAGATAACATAATAACTATTATCTGAAATATACTGATATACACATACTGAATATACTTAAATACTGAAATACATCTGATGTATTAAAATCACTAAATATATATACAAAAATATTTGTTTTAATTTAAAATTGAATAACTAAATATGGGGAAAACAACTATTTTAATATTCAAAATTTCAACCAGTCAACGAATTAATAATCGGCGTATTGGTAAACTATTTTTATTCAGAACACATACATGTATCAGACAATTTACGCGTCATAAATTCATATCATTTAACGATGCCAGTGGCCAAATTATAATTCCAGCTCGTTAAAAGAGAAACCACTGTCGGACGTTTCAGGTACAAATTACCACGTAGAGTCAATTAAAAGAATGCGTTTCTCCAAAAAAAAAAAAAAATTGTAAAATATAATACATAAAAATCATTAATAGTGAACAATAGTCAATGTGCCCACCGAAATATATCCACAGTATCATTTGAACGAGCATACATATGATGTTAATGATAGACTCGGTTTCCGCCAAAACGTCTATTATAGTTTTCAGTGAATTCTGTGCATTTAGTTCAACGTTGATACGCTGATAATTAAATTAGGTCGATTTAAAATAATTAATTCGTGTGGCCTAACAGACCATGGCCAAAGATAACGTCTGTGAGAATACCCAAATAGATAATAGTCACTCGTAAGTGTTGCAACGTCTTCGGGCCACTCCTCGACCTTAACAGGACACGCTTTTACTTCCCAGGTGTTGGTGTTTGTGGCGACAGTCGTTCAAAGGTATGGGCTACACAATGGCCGGAAACGAGATTCTGGAACGACTTCGCAGTCGGTCCATTTATCATTTAGTCAGCCCGAAAAAATTATTATTATGATTGCTTACTAGTTGATTGACAAGCGAAGAGTCCTCCGCGGCCAACGCATCCAACCTGAGTACGTGTTCTAGTCAAGAAAACATACGCGCACGGGGTTGTACACAAACAATGATAAACAGCGGACCAATCGACGTGCCGTCAATCGGGACCAGTACGCAGCACTAACCTCATAGCGGCCGCTGTATGATAGTAATTTTCAATGTAGGAGAACCCGTTCACTTGGCGGGGATAATGTGTTGCCGGCGGACGCCGTTTCCCTCCTACTACGTGATATGCACATAAACACATGCTACTCCTCAGCTAAGCTTCGCACAGATGTATTTCTCGACACCGCTACCGGTGAAGAATAGCGGTCGCATTGAAACTCGACCGAATGAAAAAAGAGCCATTTGTGGTCCAACTACTTTCAATTTCGACTCGACGACAGTCCACACACAATTAGCCATTGTGTCAACATTCAAAGTATTATGTAAATGGTTTGATGACATTTGCCCATCACGTTCCAATAGATTATCGACACGCAGTGCACCACCAAATATTGTAAATTGTTAATTTTCATAAAAAGCTTTCACGGTGTCGAATAAAACAGAAACGCGATTAGCACTTAACAGTATTAACTAAAAGGGCGAACGTTCTGACTCGCCGTAGTTGTCATTAATCATTTCAGATTACTAGTACAGAACGCTATTAATGCACTGAGATAAATCCATGTACTGTGAGGCCTGAAAGAATATGATAATACCAAACAATACCATCGAATTAGTATTGACGTACAAACGCTTTTGACACGTTTCGTTGGTTACGCGTAAAGAGATCATATAAAAAATATCAAATGGACTAAAAATACATAATTCCCACGATTAGCCGGGGAGCTCCAAGTACAATAGACACAGTAATGTATTTTATACATAACCTGCTCTTACAACGTAATTATTATTTTTTTTATGAGACAAGGTCTAAACGACTAATAATGTACTGTATAATGACTTTCATTAGACACAAACTGACTCGTTCTCATAAATTATTGTCATTTTAGGTTTTCGTTTCGATGAAAAATAAATAAATTAATTGTCGCAGACGAATTATAATTAATTGATTTCGATATATTTTTATTGAAAATTTTCGTCAAAATTATATCTAAAAGTACAAATAAGTCATAAGATTCTAACGGGTATTTTTTTTTTTTTGTAAACAGTAAAAAAAGAAAGATGTACGGAACTTGTACATCGTCAATCAGTGAGTACGCTTAAGGTCATTCGCAACATTTCAACTGACATATTCGATGATTTTATTACTTTTTTCACATTTCTCTTTTTTAATTATTATACGATTTCCCGCGATGGTACGCGTAACTTGCAGTCACGATAATTAATAGTTTCTGTTATAGTGCTCGTACAGATTAATAGAAACTGCAAGTTTTAGCTGAAATCACATAAAAAAATAAATACAATTAAATCTATAAAAATTCACAGCAGTATTATCTGATAGGCTCTAACCAACACGTTTAGTCAACTAATAGCTATGTAATGGTAATTTTATTGTTTTCCAAAGAATTATTGGAATTTCAAAATCACGAAAGATACAAAAATGTTTAGTAATATTTACTTTGCGTATAAAATACTAAAAAATGAGCTCTATTTGACTCGTGTAAACACATTACAGTTAAACTTTGTTTTTTTAATACTTTACACTTAATTAACATATCCGACTACGCAACGTTTTGCCTGCATGTTATAAATAATTATAACGGACCATTGACAATTCATTCATATGCACAAAGAAAAATATATGTGATTTTATAAAGCTGATAAAAATTCAACGAATTTACAATTATTTTAGTTTCTAACAAAAACATTATTTCAAAGCAGTTAATAAACTTTAGACGGTTTTATCAACTCGGAAAATAATAATCTTAACATTTTTAATTTCCAATTAAGTCGTCTATAGAAGAAATCGCTGACATTTTTCATAGAAACGCTACGGAAAGCCTCTGGGGCTCGTTGTTATTATTTTCAAAATGATCGTCTACAATGTACCAAACTGTTGCCGGTTGCTTGTATTATGATAGCAATCAAACGCTCACAAACCATTAAATGGAAGTATTTAAAATCGTATTATTCTTCTTAGCCAAAAATGTTCAATAACACGTTTTGCACACGAAATTTTGAAAAATAATTATCGCCAAGTTAAGCGAAAATTTTAAGAAACAATAATCAACCGGTACGAGTCTATCTCAAACAATAACTACCCACTCGAGTAAACAATTAAATCGGAAGATAATATTTAAATTAGTGTCCATCCGCTAACGCTGAATAAGGTGCGCCGTTGTTCATCATCAAAGTTGCTATCGTCACAAGCTATGCTGACTACTTTTAATTATTCTTTATTCTCATCAACTGAAACAACAAACATATTGTAAAGTTCGAATCACATAACTAGTCTCAAATTTATCAGATTTTTCCAAATTAAAGATTCAATAAAATTGTAATATGCTCGGCCTACGTCCAGTGCTTCTTGTACTGAAACGCACACATAATACGCAGCAGACACGAGGCAAGATTTCCTTTTTCGGAATGTCTGTCCTACAGTTACGTTGTCAGGTGGTAATTTTCTGCAGATAATTACCCAACCAAAATAAACACCTTTCGTTTGAAAATAAAGATTATTTTAAGTACTGCATTGAAGACTACGCCCAGAAACATATTTACATTGACACCAAATACATAAATAGGTGCGTTACAAGCAAATTTGCTTTCGATTCGAACTGCATTTTGGATATCCTCTTTTTAAAGAGCTAATAATGATCTCGACATCAATTTGAGAGCGCGTACAACATTAAACAAGCTACACATTCAACAGTAGTTCTAAAATTATACCCAACCGAACTTCCTAGCGACCAAACTTAACACATGACGATTGATGCGCAACTATAAACAGCGTGTAAACATCCTCTCGTACAGTCCCATAAGAGTCTGCATCCGTTTTCCGTTTGAACAACAAATAATAAAACAGTATTTGTACACAGCTAACGCATCGTCAATTCGTGACCACAGTTAATTTTCAAATAAATAAAATAATAATTGCGGGAACCGTTTTGTATAAACGTGTAAATAAATAGAAATTTCGTAATGTAAAATAACTATTAATTGAGATGTATAAAAAATCATGATCAACAAAGCACATATAAAAAGTCAATGAGTTGTAAATATTATTGATAAAATATCAATCAATGAATCAATGTGAAAAATATTATTTTCATTTCATAAACAAATCATTAATGTTATAGTTCAAGAGGCATATTACGAGTAAAATATTGAATACGTTTCAACCAAAAATATTTAACAAAGTATATGAAAAAAACAGTATACGTACGACTCTTTTACTCTTATACAAAAAATAACAATAAAAAAATCAATAGACGTTGTTTCACTAATTAACTTAATAGTCGTAAAATAACATACGATACTTATTATCAAGTTAAATTTATAGTAAAATTGTACATGTATTAAAAAAATACAGGTCACCACTATAATGTTGATTCACCAATGTAAATTCAATTAAAAACCTTTAACTAATTACCTTCACATATACATAAAAGTACATACGTTTTATAAACATAATGTGCTTATTATTAATGTAGCATGTGCTACTTTCATTTTTAAACCAAATTCAATAAAGTAATCCAAATGTTATCAGATAGTAAGATATTAAATTATTATATCATAGCAACATCAATCATTTAATTTTATAGTACATACTCACTTAGACATAATTATTTATTTTTAATCTATAGAGCACAATATTAGAAATTGAATTTCAGTCTTAATGATACCGTTAAATAAATAAACCATTTATGTCTATCACATACAATTTGTAAGTCAACAATATTTCATGGCTCATATTAGTTCTTGTTAATAAAATATAAATAAATTGCTGGCAAAATTAGTTCTTCCCATGGCACTGAGTTTAAGACATTATTTTTTAGGTGAACGTTTTTTCATCTCTACAAAATTTGTAAAATTTCACAATTTAATACTTATAAAAGAATATTTATAAAAAATTTAACTTTTACTTAACATTTATGATCACGTTTTTAACAGTAGTTTCCGATAACAATGAAAATTGTTGAATTAAAAAGAGAAATTTTTTATCAATAACAAGTTTCATGTAAATATTTACGAATTTCAAGTCAACAGAAAATTTACATTTATTCTAAATTATTTGTTTTCTAGTTAAACTAAATGAATCTTTGATGAAATAGTAATTAGAACACTATTACTAGAAAACTGTCAAAAAGAAAGTAAAAAATCAATTTATTTAAAGGAAATATTTTGATATTAGTAAAAATAATCAAATCTATGAACTGTTTTTTTTTAATCAAAACCAGAAGAGTTTTCTCTTCAAAGAGTTATTAATGTTTTGAAAATATTTGGTGAAATAATTATCAAAGAAACAATCGTCACATAATCGTAGTCATTTATCACCATGACCGCCAATAACAACACCCACGCTGTTCTATATAAGGCAATTTAGTATTTAAATGTGTAGGTAACAACAATATTATATTCAATTGAATTGAACTTTGAACCAATGTTAATTTGACACTTAATTGTTTCAATTTATTATAGAAACCTACGTTGAAGCAATTTAACATATCAACTATCTAAATTAGAATGTTAATATAAGAAGTTGACGTTAGACTAATGTTACTAAAAATATTTTTTAACTATTGTATATTTCTGGAACTTTTCGCACTGTCAGAAAAAATCTTGTATAGTACTCACAACATTTAAATCTAATTAATTGGTTGATTGTGAAATTAATTACTTCCAAAGGTGGTATTTAAAATTTGGTTGAAATCTACTAAAATGATTTCCTGGAAGCGTCAATAGCAAGTGAGAAATAGTTTTCACGAGCACGTGAAGTTATTCACATCGTCAAACGTTTCTTGTTATACTTTTTTAACGAGAACATGTTCCTATTTTGATACTTCATCAATAGCGTATATTCGGTTCTGTTAGAATCAGACACGAGATTTTAACTTAATACGTTCACTTTAGTTTTCATTTATTTTCACAATTAATATTATCGTTTCAAGACACACATCGGTAATTTTTAATCTTTTAGCAACTCTATTCACTATGTAATAATTTATAAAATTCACGAGGTAACCGAAA